CCTACCTCTTTGAAATTGGAGTCTTTACTTAGCAGGCAGGAATGAAGAACTTCCTGGAAGTGCATTCAGGCGCCCAGATGGGCCTAGCACCACCTAATGAAGTCCCTGTAGTGTCCTTGTTGAGTATTTGGTTTTTTGCTTATTTTATTATCGGAAATTGAAGTAAACAGCAGGAAAACCACTCCTATAAAACAAATAACGGTAAAAATGCTAGTAGAAGAGCTCGAAAGGTTAAAAACAGCTGAGAAAGCTTTTGTTGGTTCACAGCTCTTGAATTCTGTTTTGCAGTTCTGGCCAGTTATTGTTCCGCTATTCTGCCTTACTTGGTCTTTGCCCTGTTCTAGCGACAGTAATCCGTGAACTATTGAAAAGGGCGTGAATTGAATTGTCCTTGGTGTCCGATCGAGATGCCATGTCCCACGAGGTACTATAACGTGAAATAACAATTCTATCTATCTATCTATCTTTTGTCTGTGGCCTGAAATGGGGGTGGTCGATCGTCTGCCGCCGACGGAGAAGACGGTCGTCGTCGTGATGGTGATTATAGCGTAAATTATCGCCTACTCCCTGCTTGGTTGTAAATCGTCGACCCATCACATCAAATTCGAACGACTGATTGTGCTCGTCGTACGATAGCGCTCAATCGGGGCTTCTTGCACATGTGCATCTGGGAATTTGGGTAGAAAAACCTCCATACCCGGGCATTACTCTCCTCAACACTTAAAACGTGTTCCACTTTCAAACGCAGACCATAAGAAAAGTTGGCTGAATGATAGACGATCCTTCGTGCGCCTTCGTGGTTTTTCTTCAGTCTCATAAATGATCGATGTGCCAAATAGGCTATTTTCTAGCATTTATTTGTTAATTCGGCAATAATGACGGGAATATTTAAGGCCGGAATCGATGTCTGCCATGAGAAGCGAGACTTCGAGGTCACGTTTTATCATTGCGCCATGAACGACGTATGAAAAAGCCACTGGTCACGCCTGATTTTTGCTTTCAATAGAGATTAAGAAGTCTCTTTTCCGTCGTTCAATGAAATGATTAGACGTGAAATCAACGAAGACCTTGCCAGAAACCGCGTCAAATCGATCCATCCGTCGCCTTTTGTTGATAGTACGTGCATTGAACGTCTCTCCCGGGGTGTCTTATATCGAGTGAATCCCTGGCGATTCGATTTGCACGTTCTGAGACATTCATTGAAGAGAGAAACTTCCCGTGTCGTTCATAATTCCGGAAAATGGGTGGCAGTGGTGGTCATGTCATTGGCCGATGTCCACATTTTCAGAACTCTACCAACCCGAAAATTGAACGTGCTACACGATCAGGAAAACTCGTCCGAGAGCTCGTCCAACACCTCCATTTCTGGAGTAGTTTCCGTGGCGTTTTAATGGATTTTCGAGTGGTTGTGGTCTTCCGGTGGTACAGATAGCTTGAATTTTGATTGCAAACTCTGCAGGAGACCCACTACGATGAGTGGAAGAAGAATTGTTCATTTTGGGGATCTTAGAATGATGAAAAGGCCATGTTTGTATTGAAGGGGCCCCCTCTGCGACAAGCCGACCCAGTTGTTTTCACTCTGAACGAGTTCATGCCATGCTGAGACTACAGGACGTGTACCTCTTCCGACAGCCTACAAACTCGCTATTTCACTGTTCTGGGCGATTCCGATTGGCCCAAGGAGGCATCGGATCTCTTTTAAAGATCAAAGAGCAGTTGTCACAAGTGCATGTGTACCCTTTTTGTGCTGTCATCTTGGATCAAATCCTCTTTGAAAAACTTCAAACAGGCCGTTATCCAATGCCCAATAGTTTCTGCCGTTGTATCAGCTACTTCCCTCCTGAAGTATACCCACAGATATGGAGGTGCTATTGTCATCGAATGACAGGGTTTCCAATATATCCTCCTGAAAAGGAAATAAAAGAACCCTTTCAACACCAACTATAGATACATGCTGACTACCCACCTTGTGGTCCTGATCAGACATCACTCGAAGAACATTCATTCGCGATTCAAAGGGCACATGAACTCGAACGCATTCAGGGTTATCTCAGAAGGATAATTTTAGATCGTTCCTAATGTTCGTCGATCATCTCATCTCTGGTTCCAAATAGCATTAGCATCTACCGTACGTGGCCAAGGAATCCTTCCAAAATTTTTGGGCACATTTCAGTTCCACTGCATATGCCTAAAAAGATCCGATAACCACTTGAAACCGATGAAGTGAAACGGAACAGACTGGGAACCATGCATTTATTAGCGCTCAGTACTGCAAAATTGCAATTGCATTGAAATATTTCTACAAATGAAAAGAGTTCTTTATTTCCCAATAATAATTTGCTGTAATAATAGCAATGAAGGCTCGCCAGGCATCCTAAGCGGGAAACTCTGTGATGGTGGTGGAAACGGCTTCTCACACTTCCTTCGCCTGCAAGAATACTCTCACAGACTGTATATCAATAGTGAATTACCATCCCGGAAGAATCTCTACACTGCCACGGAGGTCATTTTCGATTCCCACATGAACACTATAAATCAAGTGGCGTTAGGATGTGGCCACTACCATGGCACTCTCACTTAAATTATGCCATGTGATGTTAGTTCTCTTGGGGGGTTTATGGACTGTACCCACATGAATGCAATTTAGCCAACAAGCTATGGGGAAATCCCTCAACAATGATGGGTTAGTGGGGGAAAAAGAATATTTTTGCTATTGATACGGTACCGTTGCTCCCGGTTTCTGAATCTATGACGTTGTATATCTGGTTTTCAAAAGAATTATTCTTACGTCTCCATGAGATAGGTGAAAGTGAGGAATCGTGTTGGCGATCGAATGTCGTGGTGGCCTCACTACGCACTTCCTGCCGCAAGCCCATTTACCTTGAGGGAGTGCGGTATTCTGTCCCAGAACGGTCCGTTACAGTTTCCCTGCTCGTGGGAAACGTTGGAGTAGCTGGAGTGGGAATGCAGGTCGAGATCTGATCCCCTAAACGATCCAAGATCTGATCCCCCCAGACAGGGATACACAGACACATGCTAGTTAGGCTACTTGACTTGTCGCAGTCATTTGACCGCTTCTTCATCCCCCTTCCGCCGTATTGGAGATGGAAGCGAAAATGCAAACCTACCAAAGGGATTACTACTTAAACTGAATGTTTTTGGAAGGGGATCAAAGGTACTGCTCTGCCAGGCGAGCAGAGGAGAAAAGTTTCAAATTGTAGGTCATTTTACAAAAACCTGACACCCCAAATGAGCCAGTTTTTGTGGGGTGACTGACTCAGTGAAAAACATGGAACTTACTTGTTCCGATTAAAAATGTGGTGTTTAATCGGCACATTTTTTATTCGATAACGGTCTCAGACAGAAATGATGGATCGTTTCACCACCGAAAACTAAACTCTGTACACCACGATCAGACCAACCACCGTTCGGGAACGGACGGATGAACATCAGAAAACTTCGATTGATCAAAAATGTTGCTGTAACTGGCTGCCAAGTGTTGCTTAAATTTGATTTATTAGTATCTTTATCATTTCAGAGTGCTACCAGTGTTAAGAAACGTGAACGTAACGAGGATTTGTGTGCAATGGAACGAAGGACCATCGATTTGAATACGATGGGCGATGAATTCGATCCACCATTTTTGGTCGAAGTTCGATGCCAGAATACGGCCAACTATGAACGAGGGACTACCGACACTCTCGTCGAACAGGTACGTGACAAATTCACCACTGTGATCGGGGAAGAATGTCTGGGAACTGTTTACGAATACCGTAATCGAATATGTGCATTCGTGCAGAAGACCAGTACATCCCCTCTAGACTCCACTACCAATTGTGAAATAGTTCCTCGTCTTCCCCGAATCACACTGTCTTGGGATCAAGGTGACCACCAGAGCCGGTGAAATTGGCTCAATAGACCCCAGAACGCCTGAAGGTTTCCACTGGGACCCAGTTCCCCTAAGATCTACCCATTACAGAAGAGGCAAGGTTGAGGAATGTACATGTCACGAACCGAGTCCGTAGAACTCAATTCATCATTATTCGGTCAGGCCCTTTCTTTTGGGAGATCACTCGAGGAGCTCAGTCTGGTTAGGTCTCCTCCAGCAAGGATTCTGATCAGAGTGTCCGTGTAATCATCTGGGGTAGTGTTTCAAGTGTAGAGCGTAGAGGGAGCGAAAGTAACGTTCAATAACGTTTTACTGAAGACGAAGAGAGAGCAAGAAACACTCGAATCGAATACTTGTGAATCTCTACTTTCTCTCTGTCGGCCTGTTTATCACAGTGTGTCTACAGAAAAAGCGGAATCCATCAATGCCGAAGTTATTTGGGCATTTTCGTACTTGACTTGTGTTGAACGCGATTCTATAGATCGTGGAACGTCTCGTTTATTTGAGTACCATTTAAAGAAATGATTTATCAACGGCCAAACTTGAACGATCGATCGTCGATCATTTCACGTCGTACGGGGTTTTTTGTCAATCAATCAAACCCATTTCATGATCATTTCTCAGATATCAATCATGTCTGCCTCTATTTCGATATTGTTAAAGGGCCCTACATCTCATTCAACCTCATTTCAAATGCCTAGTCAGAACGGTAACTGTCAGCTTCGGAGCTGTATAAGCGTTATGAACCCACCCAAACTCTGGGAAGCTGTTTAGTGTAGTGAACGGAACGGCCGTCCGGCAACAGTCGGTGCAGCCCCTACTGCACCCATAAGGTAGCTCATACCGATGTTGTTTCTGTGGGGAGTGTAAGCTAGTGAAATTTTCCCCGACTCCTCAGCCAACCGTCACGCTCCATTTACTGCATCGCCTGCGGTAAGAAGTTGGGCCAAATGAGTTGTAGAGCCTGTAGAGCCAGTACGATGGATTGGTGGTATTCCTGGGTCAGATGTCTGATGGAGCGATCTGTGGTCGTCGTTTCTAACTTCCATCAGGTCTACCTCCCCTTCCGGAACGATCGTGGGAGCCACAAGTGATGCTCAGACTATGTATCGCAACTACTTCTTCCTCACAGCATGCCGGTCCCGAGATAGATAAATAGATAGAGAAATAGGCTGAACACTATCCGGTAAGGCCGTATTGATATCCAGTTTCTTCCACGTGCTTCGGAACTAATGTTATGACAGGTTGTGAGCACGGCTCCAAATAAGGAATTAATGGGGTAGAAACTTAGTTCAGCTGTGTTTTTGGCTTTTGAAATCAGCGCACCTACGAGCTACTTCTGGGAGAAATCAGAACTATCCCACGTCTTGTGACAGCTCATCAACAGTGAAATGTCGTTTTTTGTTTCTTGTAAATTGCCATTGCTCGAAAATTTATTTATATGTTTACTGGCTGTTTGGGTGCTTCTTTCCCACGGCCACAATTCCCACACTCTGTTCAAATAAATCCGGGGTGTATGAGGTGATAAATGAAGATGAATTGATTGACATTTTCTCGCCTTTGAACTCCTACCCCGACAGATGGTGCTTAACTGGCTTGACTACTACCGGAAGCGTTTTATCTGGTATCTGAATCGATTGGGGCAGGATTTTCTACATGATATCTTCTTAAAGTCATAGTCTACTGTAATTTCGATGTATGTCAGGGTATGACGCCAGAAGTGGCCTGGAAGAACACCTTAGACAAGTCGTCAGTTGTGCACTATTGCGTAGAGCTGGCAACAGTAAGCCAAAATGCAAAAAAATTGCCTTTTGCTGTAGGCGTGCACCGCGACCAGGTGTTTGGGTTTTCAGCATATGTGCTCCGTTGTGAATGGAGCAGCCTCTTAGGCGGCCCTGAAACACGGTCACCTCTGGGCGTGGCATACAGTGTATACAGTCTGAGCCCTGATTACGCCTTATATAGGCCACTTTTCGATGTGAAAGCGTTTGATATGGCATACATGGGGTTCATGGATTCATCCTAGAATTAATTGGGTATCCATCTAAATTGCGCCCCCAAATCCCCTCCAAATCTTTCAAATACACTCTTTCTAAAGACGATAGGCATTTTCCACTCATTCCCTTTATGGAATGGACTTATTGGTAGCCATTCCAGGTTGCCAGTCAATTAGATCGTTTTCAGCGACTTTTTCTTTCGGGAGGGAAATTTTCCTCGGAGAGGCTCCAATACTTG